AAAAAAAAAAAAAAAAAAACCCCGAGCATGGTTGTGTGAAGCTTAGCTATTTCAAATAACAGCATGAGTATACACCTCATCGGTAACGGAGAATAGATACGTATATATACTACTTTTCAAGTAACTTTCGCGAAAGCTGTGTTTGCAATCGAGCTGTCGAAAAGGGAACGTTGTTTGAGATAACAAATGTTGAGATTTAAAAAAAAAAAGAAAACAATGAAAGTAGAAAATATGAGTTTTCGAGATTTTTGTCGGAGACGTTCGAAACAGACAGACAGTTGACCTTTTTTGTGAAACTAAACATTACATAAACGATTTTGTTTCTTTGCGAAACATGGAAATCATCGGTGTGTAGGAATGCGATGATTTCGAGGAAGATGTAGTCCTCACGTTGGATGAGGTTCAGATCGAAATGCAAGGCAACTACGTAAGCCACTAAAATTTTGTGTAATGCGCTGGTCTTACTTCTTCATGCATGTCCCATCTTATCGTAGATGATTCGGGATAAAGCTGGGGGGGAAAAAAAAGAGCGTAGTTACGTAAATGCATACAATGGTTTATCATGTGTAGATAAACTTGATGTTTTCTTTTCAACTTTCATTTTTATTTCCATCGAGACGCGACGCGACGCGACGCGAATCTTATCTAAAATAACGGTACTAAGAGCAATCGAAATTCCATTTCATCCTTCTTTTCGTTACGGAAAGTTCGTCTGAGAAATGTTCGCCCTGGAAATTTAACAAACGCACATGTGTGAAGAAGCGACTTAGAAACACGCCATATCTAAGATCCCTGTTGGCAATCCTCTTAGTATTGTTTCCGTTGGCGACAAATTTGAGAACGTAGCTAGTTGACGCATTTAGTTGACGAGCATCGAGTAAAATTAATGATCACTTGATTTTGTTATATCATTCACATATTCTGTCGACGAATCTCACGTATCTTGCGTATATACAACCAATATCAAACGATCGAGAGAGAGTTGTAACCATGCTAAACAGACGACACGAGAGTAACGAACAAAGAAAATAAATATGCCATTCATGATTCTCTCTCACACTAGGATGCAGATCCGAGCGGCGTAGAGTTTTCTTGTAATTTTCTTCCCCCTCCCCCATTGTCGTTGAAAAGTGGTCTTTAGTGCTTGTTCCTTTAGGATGTGACAGAACCAGGGGTGGGAGGCGGGGGCGGTAAATGGGTGGGAACCTCGAGGACAGATACTGCGAAGCAATCAGGAGCTGGTGGTACATTGACACCCGCTGATAGGCACGGTTCTGTACAGGTGAGTGAACCTTGCCAATCCTTTGCACAGTCCATTCTGTCCGTCTATTTCAATTACCTATCCGAAAGATTACCTATCCCCTCTCCCCTTCCTTCCTTTCGTCGTTTGATATCCACGTTTCTTTCCACTGGCAAATACTTTCAGCCATGTCGCTGCAAATTGTCCGTTACGTGTGCTAGCTTTGCGCGTATTTTGCTCGATATTTCTAGACGAGCAAAAAAAGTGCGTTGTAAAAAAGAAAAAAAAAAAAAAAAAAAAAGAAAAAGAAGGAAAATAATGTCGCGTCTTGCGCGTGTTTTTACGTTTCAATAGGCAGACACTCCTGTCCATTTGTTCCCTTTGTTTCCCCATTCTCTTAGCCCACGAAGGTGACGTGCAGACGCGTCCACGAAGTAAACCGTTCGCTCTATTTCTAGATAAAGCAACGCCGGATTTTGTGGTCAGTTAGAAGTTCATGCAAATTGGTTTGCTGCCGCATGCGAACGTTTGTTTCGTTGATCGATTCGTTTCTAATTCAGTTCATACTTCACTAATTCAATCTGCACTCCATAATTTTTTTCATAATCGCGCTCTCTTTTTCTTTCGTGTTTTTCTTTCTTTTTTTTTTTTTTTTTTTTTTTCCCTCCCACCTCAAAGATCGAGAGAACATAACTTGCGCGAGTGAGAAGAGTAACTTGTTAACCGAGTCGATTAGCTGTACCATGTTTTTAGAGTTTCATTTCGTTTGTATTAACAACGCCTTGTGAATATAAAGTGCTGCTTCTTTTTTTTCA